GTAGTTTAGTTGCCATAGTTATGGTAAATGAAGCAATCAGACGTACAACACTTAATATAATGAAATTTGAGCGATTTACTCGGCGTGAGTGCGTTTAGATGAAGAAATATTTAAGCTGGAATTTAGCTACATCTACAACTGTCTGTGATCGTATAAGATGAGCAGCAACGAGGAAAATCTCACAGTAATTCAACTGGGTGGCATAGACATACACACATTCACATGCTTAATAGACTTATTTTTGTTTAGCTACTAATGTTATTTATAATTTATACAATTCTACAGAAATAGGTCAAGTGGAGACCGAGATATTTTCACAAAAATTAGTTTCGCTAAGTAAATCTGAGCTCTTTTCAATGTATCTAATTAAATTTTAGACATAAGACGAGGTATTTATAGTAACCTCAGAGTTATTATTGACACAAGGGAACTAAAAATGATATACAGTGCTGGCCTTATAATTAGAAACGAGCTAATTCTATTTCTGCTATGTCTAACATTTCATTCACCAAAATTAATACGAGTAATAGGACTTAGATATAGTTGTATAAAAAAAACATGAGACTAGTGAAGTATTGTAGAAAACAAACTGAACATAATAGAAAACCGAAAACAGCTTGATCTCATAATTAGAAACGATGATATTCTGGTGTGTAACCATTATTTCTCATAATATAGGCCAGTCTTCTCGATACACTTTCAATCTGAAATGATAACAAAAAAATGTAGATATTTCCAGCCTTGTTGAAACAAGTCCTAATTCTTTTTCGGAACTTTTCCTCTATGTCGGGACTGATATTAGGTCCTGTATTCTTAATTGACTTGAAATCAAGACTCAAAACATCATATGCAACATGTGTCTAACCTTAGTGTGTTGAGGCTTATATCATGCTTGAATTGTAAATTATCGGTATATATTCGAAAGGACACGGTTAGAATTAAATTCAGGGCTTACGATATGAGTTCAACATTGAAACGCTTCAAGTCCGAAGCATTAAGGGATTACATGGGTTTATGGGTTCCAAAAAATCGATTTTTTATTGTCTTATTTCTTTATTCAATTACACCTCCAGAATATTGTCCTAAATTTTCAAGTTGATCGGAGTAATATTTTCGGGGATACAACCTTGAGAACTTATACGTTCTAGGCTAGCTAGGCTGAGTGCCCCGTCTTTAAATGCGTTTTTCCCGAAACTATGTTTTTGAAGTCGCTTGGCAAGATCAAGAAGACTCAACCGATATTCATGAAATTTTACACGGATCTCTGATATACAATGTCGCTAAAGTTTCTCTGAAATTTTAATTTTTTTGTAAAATTGTCTGCCAAAAATCTAATTAAATCCGAACCGCCAAAGTTCAAACTTAAGGTTTTAACTAAGAAACGTCTTTTTTCACCTTAGAGAATCTTTTTTCCGAGAAGTCACCGGGAATGGCGTCGCAATGGTCGAGTTTAAAATATTTGTTTCCAAAATTTTCAGAAATTCGAATGAAATATTTAATTTTTCATATGAGAAAAAAATTGTTGAAAAAATTTTGTTTTTTACCGGAAGAAACCCATGTAATCCTTTAAGCAAAATGTGTGGATCCACAAGAAATGTTGAGGTACTATGCTATCTCTCGTATGCCAACACCACAATTTTCAAACAGTGTTTCTTTAACTTTTTCGAAGTTATTGCCATTAACAGAGGTGGATGCATGACTCGCCTGAGGCAAGTTTCTATGACTTTATAACTTTCATTGCTGAATGCTTTATGACACTATATGTTGGCGTTCCTGATAAAGAAGGCTCCCCAAAACACTTCTGTAAACGCCTGAGGCAAGTTTTCTATGACTTTATAACTTTCATTGCTGAATGCTTTGTGACACTATATATTGGTGTTCCTGATAAAGTAGGCTCCCCAAAACACTTCTGCAAACGATAGCCGTCATTCCAAGCAAACTTTTCGCGTTCTAAACGAACAGGTGCCAAACAGACAGTAATTGCCATATGGAGATCAAACTTCACACGAACATACAACAAGTTTGTCCCAATCTATGATTTTTTTTTTTTTTTTTGATTTATTCCAAATCAAATTTGTTCAAATATTTTGAAATGGATCCATTATTGGTTGTATTCATACAATTGAAGAGGCACACAGTGAGGATATTTCGTTCCCGGCACATCGTTTCTAATTAAATAACCACCACTGGACATTTTGAGTATGTATTTAAATAGCTGTCACAAAATATTGTCTGCTGGCAAATCTTTAATCTTACCAAGAAACAATAATCTATATAATCTGCCATAATCACGGCAATTGATTGGTTGGTATGTTTAGGAAAACCCTACTAAACTATTTTTGTTTTGATTAAATGAAAAGAATGGATTTATACGAGTAATCTAACTAAAAAGCAATATAAAGTTATTTATTATAGCATTTAACTTAATAGTAATAAAACACAAGTATTAGTTTTAGCAATGTTTAGAATATGCCATATAATCTATTTACATACATATGTATGTATGTATGTAGGTATGATCATATATTAATCTACAGCAGAACGTTCAATGATAACAGCGATGAATGAATGCGCGGCGTTTTGACGTAACCATGTGCGAACATGTATGTGTATATGAATGTAAAAGGTGTTTTAAATAGCCTTTATACATAAATATGTATGTACATATATATATTTATCGAGGCGATCGGTTTTAACGCAAAATTGTGTGGAAGCCGAAGAACAAATTAAAGGTGGCCCGCCTTTGCAATATAGATAACTACATGGCGTTTGGCCACACAACGAACAATGCGGTATTTATCTTTACCGCGCACAATATTGGCTATATATCCACATACACATACCCATTCATAGTTCATGTTCACAGTCACCTATTCCGCCAAAAAACCAAAAAAAATAAAAAAAACACAAAATAAAAAACTAAAAAAGCTAGCGAAGAGCTAAAATAAAAATATTAACGCGTTCAACAGGCGAAATGAATTGAAAAGGAAATTGGCACAGTATAGCACAAACAAACACACAGGCATACATACATACGTAYATACATATGTACATGTGTAATTGCAATGAAGCGAAGAAGGAAGACGGAGTGTGACGTGTTCAATA